GATGGTGTAGGTGTGGTCCGAGGGGGATGGCTAAATGTGTTCGCCAGTCTCACTGCTTGTGGGTAGAAGCTATTGAAGAATCTAGTGGTCAGTGTCCGTATGCTCTTATATCTCTTGCCTGAGGGCAGTGGGGTGAAGAGCTCATGCCCGGGGTGGTGACGGTCCTCTGTGATGGAATTGTTGGAAAGAGCTGACATATCTCAAACCCAAGAACTACCAAAAACTGTGCCTGGCTTATTACGTGATGGCCTTTCTGTTTGGGAATTCTTGGAAATGTTTACACCCCCCCCAGAAAAAATGCTCACATGTTAAAATAGCAGCACCTGCTCTGTCAGGAATATTTATTCTTACAGTTATTTCCCAGACAGGAGTCTAGATTTTGTAGCGTGATCTCGTTCAGCACAGAATCTAAACAACAGAGTCTACTGCAGCCATTACACCTCCAAGCCATTACACCATTTTGATGCCCTCAGCTGTTTACTGACGGGATAATTGGAAGGGTCAGTACAGGGATGAAGGAGTTGCAGCAACAAATGGAGCAAATTGGACTGGAAGTTGAGTAACCCTGGTCTAGTTATTATGTGACTAGATCTTACACCATCTGCTGTTTCACATACTGATCTTCATTTAGCATTGTCCCTTGTTTGGCAATAGACCGGGGAAAGCTGAGCAGAGATTTATTTAAAAAATAACACGGACAAAGAAAGCCATGAAATGTAACAGCACAGTAACAAATGACTTCAGAGGCTTGCTGTTGAGTAGCCCCCACTTTTTCCATCCTCATTTTCCCAGATCCACCGTGTTAAAGTGGTAAAAGGTTTCTGGAAGTGCATTACGAGAGGGTCAACGCGCTGTCATTCCAGTGGGCTCAGTCGACAGGCTGCTACAACAAATCCGAGGTCTTTTTTAACAGCTTTGTTCGTGCTGCCAAAGCTCTCCAGAAACCCAAACATGTTTTGCTTTTGTCTAGAATTTGTTCTGGGCCCACTTCCCTAAACCACTAATAATAAATTACTGCTATACTACACAACCACAAAATCCTTTCTGTGTTTGAATATGTACTTTTTGCATTTAGTCCTAAATTTGTTATCAGTACTTCCTCTGGGAGCCCAAAAATGAAACACCAGCTTTCTGCAAAGGTCAGACAAACACAGCTGTACTCGCCAATCCACACTTGTTTATGCGAAGGCACTTCAAATCTACCACGGCAAACGCCAACGGCAAAATGTGCACGTACAGTACACGTGCTTAAAAAATAAAAACATTTTTTTCTTCCTTTAATACATTTCAAAATGATGCCAAGTTTCACCAGGTCCCAGGTCCAGAGCAAAAGGTGAGGCTATGAAATATCTTTCACGCTTACATCCTGAATTACACCTGCAAATACTTCGAAGGAGCACATGACCAACACAGTTAGAGGTGAAAGTGTCCACTATACGTGGTATTAATGGAACCGACCAGAGTCAAAAACAACTTGGTTTTAGTTTTTCCTAGTACAAATCAGGACCTTTCTCCAAATACCCTGCTGTTGGCTGCCCTCTTCTGGTCTGTCTCTGTATTGACACTCTGCTTCTTCGGTGTTACACTGGGTTACAGTTAGTGTGTTCAAGCTGCACCTTTTCGATGTTCGCCTCCGACACTATTTCTCATATTTAGCTTTAATGTAAGAGTTGGAAAACAAATTCCAAAGCTGTTAGTTAAATTAGTACTGCTTTTTTACAATTTTGTTACAATTTGGCAACTTGGCTTGGTCTTTGAGTATTTGTCAATGATCATGCAGGTCTGAAATCTTCAGGTCTCTGCCTGATCTCAGTCCCACGACCAATAAGAAAATTAACAAGAGGCTGGTACTTATCCTTCCCACTTCAAGACTCACCTCATGTAGCTTCTTCCAGAACTCGGGGCCTTCAGGAGTCTTCCTCAGGCTGGGAGGGACGTACCAAAAGCACACATTTGCATATTCAGGCTAAAAAGAAAAATAAAAGATGAACTGCAAAGCTCTGCTCACCGAGGCCTTTACAAAAAATCCTCCCTTTTCACACATTCAGTGGTCTTGGTCCAATCGCAGGCATGAGGTCAACTTTGAATGCGGATATCGCATTTGCCCTGGATAGGCGAGTGTGCTGAGCAAATAATAAGGATAATGCAAACTGCTCTTGGGTGAATGGAGTCATGAACTGTAGACCACACAGAATATCCATTCGTCCCTTTCCCAACAGGGTATTGTAATGGAAGCAAAGGGCACAAGGCAGGGAACACCCTGGACGGCATGCCAGTCCATCACAGGGCACACACACACACATACACACACACACCAGGGCCGATTTTCCCCCGCTCTGCAAGGCAGCAATGCTAACCTCTGTGCCAGCGTGTCACCTTACTACACAGAGTATCAGATGGCAGAACGTCAGCTGCAGTCCTGCACACCAGTGGCTTCGAAAGGGCTTCAGCAGACCCAGTCACTTGCTGCGTGCCGATGAGCCACTTTTGCAGTCATCTCAGATCAGCTCAATATCTGGATTAATTAGACCCCACTTGTTCGCAATGTATGTCCCTGCATGAATGTATGAACCTACTGTATGTTGCAAGCTGTGTAGATCTAACTATCGGGTCCTTCTCTTATTTGAGAAAGTTATTGCTGAAGTGAACGCCACATAACTGCTGGAAGTCCGTACCTCCAGGAGCAGCCGGAACCCCTCTCTGTTCTTGACTTCCTCTGCTAAATACCTGCGACCAGAAAACAACGAGAAAACAGTTGAGTGCAAAGGCAGCACAACAGCACTGACGTTCCCAGACCCCAGAGCAGGTACCTTCTCCCACAGAACATTGTGAACATTTAGCAGCCCACAGCATAATCAGGAACACTACCATTTTCATCGTCTAAAGATGACTAAATAAAAATGATTTAATGATTTAAGTCAACCTCATGGCACATTGTTTTTTCACACTCGGTCACTTTTAAGATATTCTGGGAAACGAATCTAGCGCCCTGCGGTGCAAGGCCCTGGGGATTCTATTTGCATTGGCACATTTGTTCCAGGCTGAGGTCGGCTAAAGCTCATTCCGTTCCGCTCTCCTGAAGTATGGCAACATGGTCCCCAATAAGACAAACCACAATGCACAGCAGAAGACTGTGATAAATGGAGTCCGAGAGTAAACAAATTATAGATGCAAAGAAATGTCTCGGAAGCTGACACATCTGCTGCCTTAAGAAAATACGCTTGAGGATTTATCCTGTGACAGATCACACTGGAGGTCACGCCTAACGTACAGTATAGGCCCTTCTGTGCACGTCTGTGTGAGTCTAGTACCAGACAGCTTACAGGGAAGCTTCGGTGTGGATAATAGCCACGGGAAACTATCAGACAGCATGGAAGGGCATGGAAACAGAGGATTAGCTCCTCAGGTAATCCTCCGGCTAGAGTGCTGCAGCTTCTGAATGACCCGTCCATCCAAACCTATTACCACAAAGCATGAAGGGAAACCTCTGTGATTATGGCCCTAAGTGTTTCTAAGGTACTTACAACCAAACCACATATTAAAAAAAAAAAATGAATCTAAAAAGCATGACTGTCTACTATAATACCTGGGCAGAACTTGGAAAAGTGTGAAGCACTGCATGATCGCCCGGATCTCTCTGCATGTTTTGCATGACAATGCAACTCCACCGATTGCAACCTCTGTATTGGTAGGAGCTTGTACAGTAGGTTAGATGCCCTGGGCACTTTGCTCATGATCTTTAAAGGTGAAGCAGTTAGTGAGAAATATCACTCTGGCACGTGGCCAGACAGGCAATGAAAGGCATCTGGAATGTGTCAGTGCTCTGTACTGGAGTCCTGCCCCGTGTTAAACATGGCCTTATGCTCAAGAGTGCCTTTTACCATAAAGCTCCCCTCTTTGTCTACAGCTTATTTTGCAATAATAACTTTAAGGACAACTTAAAGTGGTATTGAAATCAGTGGTTTTGGTCATTGATTGTATGTCATGGCAGTCTACCAAGATGGATGAATGAAGTCTTTCAGTGTCAGTGTCAGTGTCAGGGTCAGTGCGTAGTGGAAAATCCCCATACTCAAGTAAAGTTCACTGGGTTATGACCGGTGCACATCTATTTTGGAAACACTGTCACAGGGACCCTTCTTGATTCAACTGATCCCTCTCGCTGGAGAGTTGACCTTGCACATAGGACCTTTTTTTGGCAGGCGGGACCGCATGGAGTAAGTCAGTGAGCCCCATTCAAAACAGAAGAATCAGTTCTTCCTCCCTATGGGATGAGGCTTTCTTTTCCTGTCATGACTGACCTCACCAACACTGGGTATGTAGTGTCATGTCGATACTTTTAATGACATACTGTATCCCTGTGTCACTTCTGATACAATCTACTGCTCCTAGTTTAAAAGGTAAAAAAGTCATTCAAACAGCCTTTGAATTAAGGCAAAGCACAGATACACGTGTCACAGTTTAGTGTCACTATCACTATCTTCCTTGTGCTGAAGAGCTAACACATCACTAGTGTTTGTGCGCCTGCACTTTCACACAACAGCTTCAAAAGCTTTTTGCTACAGTGCACAATTTGGTCCCAAATATACACCATCATTGTCCAAAACACCACCGTCACAGTGGAAGCACATTCTTCTTTTCTGTGCACCTTTTCTCTGGTTAAATTATTACCATTAAACCTTTGCACTTAAGTTTGTTGAAAAAAAGGCTCTTCTTTGGGTGGAAAAGGCTTTTAAAATAGCTTATACAGTACAGTATATGTACATATAAAATGCAAGTTTTTTGTGTGTTTTTTTTTAGTACATTTAAAATCACATACAGCAAAAAATAAAGACAATTAAAATGCTAATTGTCCTTTAAAATAACTCCAGCCTAACCTTGGAGCTTCCAAAGCTGTGTTATAAATACAGGAAGAAAACCGATTTAAATCGCTCACAGTAGTCTCAGGCAGCTGTGCAGGTGGCATTAAAACATCAGTCACATGGACAACAGAAACCTGAGGACTGCCAGGACTTACTTTGACAGTGCCAGGGCCCTGTTCACTCTCTCCTCCAGACCCTGCGTCCCGATGGCCTTCCACATCAGCCAGAACTTGAAGGCGTCAGGCTTGCGGCTGCACTGGATCGACTTGTCTCCCGTGTCGTAGCCGATGTCGTAGAATTTGTCCGGCTGGAAGAGGTACGAAGCCTGGGCAGAGTGGCACCGCTGCAGGAGGCCCTGAAACAAGGACAGGCAGCCAGGGGCCGTCAGCCGAGGACGCGTCTGAGTGGCTGCAGTGCTCTCTGTGGACCCTGGTGTGTGAAGGCAGACACAGAGGGGGGCGAAAGACCACTCCGTGGAGACAGTGAGGTGAGGCAGAAGGAGCCACGGAGAAGCTGTTTGGTGAATCAGGCTGAGGGCCTGACGGTGGGAGAACATGCTGCAGGAGATGGCCAAACCAAGCCCAACCAACTTGACCAAAGCAGCCTGAAAACCTTGTCCTCATTTGTTGAAACGTCTGCTAAAAATTATTCTCCCACGCCTCTCTCTCCCACACCCGAAGAAGTGTTTCTTTTCTTCTCTTTCCAGCATGGAATAAACCTTCCCTTGTTCCCTGCACCCTTAAAACTGATGGCTGAAAACTGTTTTCCTTTATTTAACTATAATAGAACGCTGCCACATTAGATTCAACTTCTTCACTGCTGTTAGTTCCTGCCTTTAAATGCAATACACCTTGGGTTTTTTGCCAGTGAAGCTTTATTATATCTCTCAATTGAACTGTACACAGAATCCCCTCACACATGTAGAAAGCAGGGGGCTGCTGCTGGGATACCTTAGCTCCAACAAATTCCTCTGTTTATTTCGGTCTCAAATAAAGAAGGATTTTGCTAAGAGAGCAGACAAGGTTAACCTCCATCACAAACAGCTTCACAGAGGTTGAGTATCGGTAGACATTGTTTAACAGCAGACAGAAACAGTACTGTCATCAGAAATAAACATCGCCCAGGGGGGAATCTTTGAATTTCAGATTGTGCCCAGTAACTTTTCAAGACCTTGGGTTGCTGAAGCTCATCTATTATTTAAGCCCTGTTACTGTGTGCTCGTTTACATATCTCTTGATGGTCCGCAGCAACCAACTGTTCAATGTATTCCATTCTAATGTATTAGAAGAGGTTTTTTTCCCCACTCTGAGAACGTAAATGGACGTCCGAGCATTTACTCCAGGGATGAAACCTGTACATTAATCTTCATCTGTCCTAAAACACCACTTAGCCAAATCTCCTCAAAGCCCAGTATCATCCGTCTGCTGGCTAAGTTATGGAAAGGTCAGAGAAATATTAATCAGGAGGAAGCTGTCTCGCAGACAGTCATGTGTTACAAGCCTTAAAATTAAACAGCATTCTCTGCCTCTACCGCAGAGACGTCTTTGAGCCGAATAATGTTGTTACTGGGGTTCCTTTTTAGTTTCTGTGTTTATTCTCATCGACCAGTTGTGCACCGCTTATTAAAGAATAAAAAACAAGCAAATTACATTTCCTGAAAGCACACATTGGAAGTCTACAGGTCTCTTTACATGGAAGATCAGCTAAATTCCACTGGAAACAAACGGAGCAAATACTAAATCTCCTAATTAAGGCCGTGCTTCTCTTAACCACCTACTGCAGTCTTTTATCTCTTCTAATCATTCCGGGCAACTCCTGCTGGGAAACACGAAGCACTATCTGCCTGCTATGTCCACCACTGCCTGTGAGATGGTGTCTGTAATGTGGGGTCAAGGGGGGTCATTTGGTCTAATGGCATGACGTTGGCAGAGCACACTTGCTCACTTTGCAGCCAGTTCTGTTGAGCACAGACTTAATCGCATGGCTGGGTAGTATCTGTCACAGAAATTAATGAGAATAAGGACTTAAGCACTGGCCTGTAATCCAGCAATGCATTCTCGTGATCTCAAAGATAGGGATCAGCCTGGGACACTGCTCTAACAGTGCAGAAACATCTACCAATCTCTGCATCCTTTAAAACCTTTTTTTATTTGATTAAAACATAGTCAGAACTACAGAAATTGATTATAGGCTATTTTTCCCATTGATCACTGATTCTAATCTTCTAAAGCTATCTTTGTGTAAAGTGATGTCTTCTACTGACATATCACTACCGTCCACTTTCACACTATGGGCCCTCTGTGTGCATACTAATCAACATTTCACTGGATGAAGCTACTGTACCAACCTTAGGCACCAGTCATTTAAATTTTCTTCTACCAATGACCTTGCTGTGAGATGCACTTTTCTATAAACCTCAGGAAATAAAGCAGATTTTACTCACTTCCTGGTCTCAGCCTAACGCCTTCTGTAAGGAGGAAACGGTAAGATGAGAGACGACTTACTGTTTTGTCTCTCACTAGGAACGCACAGCACTGCAGACCAGCCATCAGCATTTTGTGAGGGTTCCAAGCTACTGAGTTTGCTCTATGAAATACAAGGGACACACAAAGTAATGGGTAAGGCAAATGAAAGAGCACCTCGCATATAACAGCCGGTCACAGTGTCTGTGCTTTGCATTACAGACGACCGAGATAATAATTACAAAGTGGGAGAGAGTTCACCTTTGGATGCCTTTGAGAAGATGACAGTACTTCCTGGACAACAACGCACTGCCTCCCCAGCAAGCCTGGAAATGAAGGAATGAAGGACCAAATGTCAGCCTACCTGGCTGCTAGAAACTCATCATACGGTCAGGAAGAAAACCAAGAAATTCTACAAAATGTCTGGAAGTCTGTTGCTAAACCCTCAGAATCCAGTGTCCCTGGGGACAGTCAACAAGGATTTAGAAAAGATAGGTCTTGCTTAACCAACGCGTTAGAGCTGATCAAGCAAAAATCAACAGTAATGGACACACACAACTCATACAATTTGACATTTTTAGTTTTAGAAGTTCTAAAAAGTTCTAAAAATCGTATAAGTTTAATTCTCAAATTATTATATCAATATTATATGCATGTAGGAAAAAAGAATCTATGAGTACAAAATGGGAGATACTCAGCTCAAAGAGGCTACTTACAGTATAAAAAGACCGACGTGTTAATGTAGACACAGTTTAAGTCTTTTAAACATGAACGTGCAGAAGTAAATGTTAAAATATAGATTTTAAAAAGTATCATCTAAATCAAAGCATGTAATGTTAACATTTTGCAATAAATATACTATCAAGACCTGTCTAAGAAGGAAGTACTGTGAACATTTTTGTCTGGACCACATTTCCCAGAATGCTGTGGGGAAAGACCTGCAGCCTTCTGTCACCTGATTGGTTGGTGCAAGAGCATTGGTCAGGAGACAATTTAAAAACCAGGAAACAGAAGGTTCCAATTGTTAGTTACCACTTGTATTAAGATAGAGGGCAGATGTGAGCTGTTATGTGAGCTGCACCAGAGAGAACAGGACAAGGAATCTATGGACTGAGTGAGAGACCAATGAAAATCATGTGAGTCTGAATTATTTTGAAGTGCTTTTGAGAGAAGTGTGTTGTACACAGGTAGTAAACAGCTTAGCTGTCCATCTACTGTTAATTGGAAAATGAAGAAGTCTAGATAGCAGCTCAAAAAGCTAGGCTTTAGTTTTGGTAAGGTTGTTTTGTGTATTGTCCTGTGACTGTTTTACTCTGGCTGACCTGTTGGAGTTCCTATTTTAGAAATAGGGCGATAGGTTTCCTCTTTCATAAATAAGCTGATTATCCTAGTTTTATAAAAATAGGGTGTCACAACCTGAATTAGAATACAGAGCACAATTTTGATCACCTTGTTACAAAAAAAGATATTGCTGCTCTGGAGTCAGTCTAGAGAAGAATAACTGGATACAATCTGAGGCTTAAATGTCCTATGTTGACAGGCTAAAAGAGCCGAACCTTTACAGTCTCAAAGAGAAATACAACACCACAAGGAGGCCTGACCCACGTATTCAGAATCCTCAGGGGCATTGACAGAGTCAAGCCAATGGATCAGCAGTGAAAGATGAACTGTAGGTCCCAAGTCAAGACTATGTGCACTTAAGCCAGAGAGCGAACAGGCACTTCTTCGCACAAAGAGTTGTGGGAATGGGGAACAAGCCATGCAGCCTTGATGCTGAAGCCAAAATCCGAATGTTTTCCAAGAAATAGAGGGATGAAATTCTATGATTTCTGATGGGGGGGGCAGGTCCCATGGGGTGGGGTATATGGTTTCTTACATGCTGTAGTTTTCATTGTGCCCCAGAATGATGTCGATGATCTGCCGGGTCGGTAAACTCACATCAACGTGAAACCAGAGGCCATTCCTTTCACAGATATCTGCGATGTCTTCCAGGGGGTCGAAGGCCCCCAGCACTGTGGTCCCAGCAGTGGCACTGACCATGAAGGGGACTGCGCCCTGCAAGACACAGAGAGACACACACACACACTCCTCTCAGACCTGTTCCGCACATTTTTCCTTCTCCAAACCACTGACACTGCCGGCGGTTCCCAGGCTCCGACTTGATCTGTCTCCATGGCTCACACAACCACACCGACTGTAAAAGCAACTTTTAGAACGGAACGTCTGGCTTTTTTTTTGTGCATGGTGAGATGCAATACAATTTTTCCCTCTAAAGCAACCCACTGTTACCAAATATAACCTTTTGCAAATATTTCCTGGCACAGTGGTCCTTCAGCTATAGACTCGTAAACAAATGACTCTGCCTTTCTACAGGGGCCAAACATGGTTCTCATTTCATAACCTATTAGGTTTTACATGTACAGGCGCGTGCGATCTCACAAAGCGGCCTTCTTCCTTTTCAGCTTTCTATTCACCAGAGTGAATTGACATCAGTGCCTTTTGTAAATCGGCATCTGAGCTGTTGTCTTTGGTGTCATTCTCCAAGCTCTGTCACTGACGTTTTCTTAGAACGCAGCAGTGGAGAACATTTGAAAGCTGTAGCTAAACTGAAATTGAAGCAACACAAGTGCCGATGAGAATGAGTCATGCGGTGTGACTGAAAAGGATTAGGTGAAAGGTATGATACGCCGCAAATCATTAGCGTACTGTGTACGACTGCATAAAACTATGCATCCCATCCAGCTGACAACGTCTTCCTTAAGCATTCAACATTCTGTTAGATGCTCCTTTTGCAAAATACTTCAACGCTTCATTTACTCTCCCGATTTCTAAATAGCGATTAAATCCTCGGGTGGAAATCGCTCAAGAGTTTCTTTGAAAATCAAAGCCGGCGCTAGAATCGCTCGGGGGCTGAATGGTGAATGGAGGTCATTCCTCACGGTGCGAGGTCTCACCTCGCTCTTGGCCCGCTCGATCTGTTTCTCCAGCTCCTCGGGAATCATCTTACCCCTAAAGGACACAAACAGGCAGTTGATCTTCGGTTCCGAGTGAAATGACACGCAAGGGGCATCGAGACGTGAAACTTGCAGCCCAGAGGAAAGGGAGACGGGGCTCTCCGTACCTGTCGTCTGCAGGAACCACATACACATTCCTGGTGCCGATTCCGAGGAAGGCAGCAGCTTTGCGCACTGAATAGTGGCTCTGAGAAGAAACGGTATAAAACAGTCATTACGCGTAGAGGAGCAGAGCGGCTCCCTATCCTGCTCCCGGAGAAGCACTGGCCTTCGGGGTTCTGCTCCAGCCACGTTCGGAACCCCGGGTTGCCATTTTCAGTGTGCAGCAGATTTTCCAGCTTATCGAAAGGGATTCGTTATTGGCATCAACCCTGTTCCGGTTCTGGAGCTTCAGAACTACCCTATTCCAGGTGTGTTGTGAAGTGGAGATCTAATAAGTAAATTGATTCTTAAAAATGTAGAGAGCTTTGAAAAAAATATATTGGTGCTTTTAGATAATATATTTCAAGGATGTAACTGCTGTGCTACAGTGCGTGCAGAATTTTAGAAAACAGT